GAAGGGGTGGGAAAATGGTAAAAGGAGGGAGGAGGACAAAGATGGAGGGAGCTGGGTAGGAGAGGGGATTGAAGGGCAGAGGCTGAGGGGGCCAGACAAAACAAGGTGGGAAGGGAGGGGCAGGGAGGAAAGGATAGTTGGGGATAGTCTAATCTTTTTAGGGATTGGTTTGGTGGCTTCCTGGGGACCTTTGCTTGGCATGGCATCATGCAGGTTATCAGAGGGAAGGGAGAAGGAAGGGAGAGGGGTCGGGTGAAGCAGAATGGGGAGGAGGAGGGAGAGGCTGGGATGGGAAGGGGGCTGGGTTGTAGGAAGGGGAAGGGAATAGTAGGAAGGTGAAGGATATGTAGCAGCAAGGGGAGGGGGATAGTAAGAAGGGGAGGGCAATAGGAGGAAGGGGGAGGAGGAGGGAGGGGTGGTATGTTTGTCTGGGTCTCCCTTGCAGCCCAGTAGGCTCTGTGACGTTGGAGAGGAGAAGGTCCGGAAAGAGAAGCTGGGATGGGGGCTTCTCGCAGCCTTCCACGGAGCTGGGGATTGAGAAAAAGAAACAAGCATGGCAAAAAAAATAGTAGCTATCATTAACTTGCAGCCTTCTATGGGCAGAAGGTCTCTGTTGAGGGCGTGGGGCTGTAAGGAGTAAGCACGCGCACACACAAACCCCCGTGATGGGAGGAAGCTGCCAAGTGCCAGCCAAGGAAAGCTGCTTGTTTCTCTCAGCCCCGTGGAAGTCTGCAAGAGGCACCCCTCCCCGCTTCTCTCTCCTGATCTTTTCTTCCCCAATGTCACAGCGCCTGCTGGGCTGCAAGGGGGGAGACCTTACACACACACACACACACACACCCCTGCATGGCTGGGAGAGGTGAGCTGAGAGCCAGCTAGGTCAGTCAGGCGCAGAGGCAAGGACGGGGGATCAAAATGGGAGGCCTCTTGACCATTTTTGTTTTAAACCTGCGGAGCTTCTCTTTGTCCACCCTCCCCTCCGTGGCTGGATGCGGGCTGTGGGCCTTGAGTTTGACATCCCTGGTATAAGGAGGGGTCTTGCTTGAGCATGGGGTTAGACTAGAAAACCTCTTCCAAGTTGCTCAATTAATCTGAATCTAAATGTTAGGTATACCTGGATCCATACCTGGATTTCAGCAAGTCTTTGACTGCATAACATTATCCTTCATAAAATGGAAAATAAAAGCTAGCCGATAGCTGCATTCACAGCTACATTGTAGCATGTGAAGAGAGCTCATTAATGACTCCTCTATCTGCATCAGGGTAGGAAAAATGTTGGCCTGGTATAAACAAGGGAGACCTGGCTTGACCGTAGAACATGTGAAATGGAATCTGGATCCACACTTCTCAGTGAAACAACTTCATTCAATCAGTCAATTACTCTTTTGAGTCATATTAATAAGAAGAGAAAGTCTAGAGCATAGCAAATGGGAGTGTCTGAAGTAGGATTAGTGGAACCTGCACTAAGGTGGGATGTGTGTGGAGGAAATGCATTCACAAGTTCCCTCCAACTTGATGGTTTCTGGCATGAAAAGCAACTAAAACTTCAGCTATTCTCCATTTACTGAAAAGATCTATAAGGCTCGGGTTCCAAAGCAAATTATTGTGGTAAGACTCTCCCTTGCCTTCACCCCTCTTTTCTAGCTCTAGAAATACCCTGAGGTTTATGAAAGGAATTCAGCAATAAATGGGAGAATGATCTCAGATTCTGCCTCCAGAAAGAGCCTCAAGTAAGCAACATGAATGAAACTAAGTTTCATTTTTAGAAACAAAGTTTTATTCATTTATAAAACCAGAACTCCCCCATTTCATTCGGAAAGGGAGGCAGCAGCAATAGGCAATGCAGTAGAAGCAAGCCTCAACTTGTTAAATCAAACTGATAGGATTAGACTAAGGAAAGGAACATTTAAGATTAGCATTACCCCGCACCTTGGGGACCACTCACAACCCCAAGTAGGCAACAACTTCCCAAACCAACTGGTTAGCTGTCCCAGAACTGATAGCTGAAGTAGCTTTTGTCTTTGCCAATAAAGGAAACCTTTTCAAGCAGCTGGCTTTCATTCCGGAGCAATCTCATTTTTCTGGGGTAGAATTCTTCCTAGACTGTGTGGTGGCACAGTGGTTAGAATGCAGTATTGCAGGCTAACTCACTGCTCACTCCAGTTCGAGACTGGCTCAAGCTTGACTCAGCCTTCCATCCTTCTGAGATTGGTAAAATATTGTTGGGGGCCAGAGGCTAACTGTAAACCATTTAGAAAAGGCGGTAAAGCACTGTGAAGTGGCACAGAAGTCTGCTATTTCTATAAAACAGCAACGGTTGGAAAATGGGGCCTGACTCAAGCCAAGATTAGACATCTCCAGCACTGTATGTCAGGGAACACATATACCTGTCATTTGGGGACAGCTGCATAGATGTTCCATTTATATTTCTGCAAATGTAATGTTCTGGCTAGGGGGTGCTCAAATAGCAAAGAACAGGAAGTTGGATCATCCAATCAGCACTGGGGTGTGCACTTCTACACAATGTGCAGCTGGGACTCGGGAGCAGTGCACAATGCAGCCATCTGCAACCTATGTTATCCATCAGCCCTTTTGCAGTGTATGTATGCAGGGACACCTAGACAAAGTTGCAGGCAGTTCTAAATCAAGCTTCAATGAGACTGTTTGCAAGCAAAATTCCACCCATATTTATTCCAGCAATCTACTACCAGAGGATAGCTGTGGTTGAGTTGGCCCAATGCAACAAAGCGTAACTCAGGTTAACAAAATGTAACAGTCCCAAAAACTCAAATTATGGCCTAATAGAATGGTATTGCTATATCATACTGAATTACGGGTACCCACTACCATCTGTTTTTGCTATGAGCCCAGCCTTCAAATATCATGCAGAAACGGCATGGTTTTGAACCTCATTCTAAAATTTTTAGGCAGTTTTTTCTTTACAGGCCAGGGACCATAAAGAAGTAATGTGAAGAACCAGCCCTGGAATTCTGGACTGTTTCATTTTTGTGGGTCTGGTTTTCCCCAGATAAAAGAGGGCAATTTTGCTCGCCATCCTTTACTTCACAAATTAATACAAAAAGCTCCAGAAAATCTAACCCATTAGGTGCAAAATCAGTTTTTGTTTCTGACTAAAGATGACTGTAATCCAAAAGCAGAGCTCCAACAGGCAGTCTGGATTTCTTTCAGCAGGCTGAATTTTAAAGCTTGTAAGTTTATTCTTGAGGGGGGAAAGAATGTAAACAGAAAAGCCTCCGAAAACCTCCTTCTTATTGGCAGGCCGAGGTTTATATTCTGCCAAAGGAAAGCCACCATCCGATTCCCCTTTGAACCGGAGCGGGGGAAGCCGCCACGGCCTTCCCAAGCAAGCGACGGGTCTCCGGGAGCAAGCAGGTTTCCAGCGCCGGCTGCCCCGTGGCTCCGACTGCCCGCCGGGCCGCTCACTTGCCCGCTGGCTTTGCCCGAAGGAACTCGGTCCTGCCCTTGCCTCGGCCGCCGAAGGTGCGCACGCGGTGGATGAGCTGCAGCTGCTGCTCGATCGTGGCCCGGATGTCCACCTCGTCCGGGATGTGGACGTAGCGGACGTTCCTGCCGGTGATGAAGAGCTCCTGCAGGCGGCAGGCGAGGCCGCGGCGGTCGGTAAAGGTGGCCTCGCCCAGGCGGACGTTCATGAAGGCGTCCACGTTGACGATGCGGCCCACGGCCACGCTCTCGTCGCGCAGCTCTACGGTGGTGATGCGGCTGTGCAGGCCCTGCAGGAGCAGCACCAGGCTGTTCTCCGCGATGGTGCGCTCCTTCACTGAGTGGCTGATCTCCATGGCGGCCCGGAGCGCGGCTCAGCCGGAAGGCCGCAGGGCCCGCATCCCGGCCCCGCTCTCTAGCACTCCCTCCTGCGAACGACCGCGCCTCCCTGCCCCGCTCGCCTCGGAAGGAAGGGCCGGCCACCCCCGGCCGGCTTCAAAAGAGCCGGACGAGGCCCAGCCTCCAAAGCCGCGATGTCATTGGCCGGTCAGAGTTCTTCCACCCGCGTTGGAGCGCTACCATTGGCCCGGCTTCGTGAAGGAGGCAGGAATTGTTGGACCCCGGAAGAGGAGCTCCCTCCCCCTTCATCCCGCCAATGGCGTGTCTCGGCCTACGGCGGCCGCGATGGTCCACGTGGTGCCGGCGATTTTACGACAGGATGGGGCTCTCCAGCGACGGAGCCCAAGGCGGGGGGGGGGGGGGGGGGGAGGGCGCCTGGTCAGTGATTTCTGAAGTGGGTCCATATCCCGCCAAAGGCAGCTCGGCGGGGGGGGGGAGGAAGGGGAGGTTTTCCCAGCGGGGGATGGAGAACCAAACTCCTGCACGGCCTTCCCCAGCCTTTCCTGGTTGGCTGCGCCGGGGGTGGTGGTGGGGGAGTGATTTTGTGCGAGGGGCATCCACTACCTACGCGGCCCGGTTCCGAATGGGCTGGGATCGCGGCGTGGGGGGGGGGGGTCCTAGTGGACAGCCGCTTAATTGCGAGCCAGCAGTGGCTGCCGAAAAGGCCAGCACAGGCCTGAGTTGCACCGACCGAAGGGGAGCTTCAAGACCACGAGAGATGTTAGGTCAGGGACTCCTCGACTTGTGACCACAAGCGAGCCCAAAATTTCTGTTGCTAAGCGAGATGTTTAAGTGAGTTTTGCCCCATTTTGCCATCTTTCTTGCCACCATTGTTAAGTGAATCGTTGCAGTTGTTAAGACAGTAACGGGGCTGTTAGGTGAATCTGCTTCCCCCATTGACTTTGCTTGTCAGGTCACAAAAGGTGATCACGTGGCCCCAGGACACAGCGACCAAGCACCTGAATTTCGATAACATGATCACGGAGACGCTGCAATGGTCATAAGTGTGAAAAACGTAAGTTAATTTTTTCAGTGCTGTTGTAACTTTTGAGTAGTCATTAAACAAATTATTGTAAGTTGAGGACTACCTGACCTGCTGCTTTATACTGCACTGGTAAGGTCACACTTGAAGTACTGCATTCAGTTTTGGTCACAATGCCCTAGAAACTGCAGAGAAGAGCAACAGAGATGGTTAGGGGCCTGGAGGCTAAGCCGTAAGGCTGACTGACTGCAGGAACTAGGTAGGTCTAGTAGTCAAACAAAAGGGACGTGAAGCCGCAGACTGCCGGACTTGCCATCCTGCGCTTCAACCTTGCTCTGCTAGATGCCAGCCTGCCATAAACTGAGCGGGGAGAGGGGCAGGCGGACGGACAAGGAGCTGCTGGAGAGAAGGAAACAGAAGCCACTCATTGTGCCTTCTCCAGGCGTTAGCTAATTGTCCCAAGGCCAGGCGCCCGGGAATCATGGAATGTGACGGTTCACCATCTAACTCCTGCTCCTGTTGCTGGGACCCTTATCAAAACAACTTATTCCAAGGTCCGTCCCAAAAGTGCTTTTTTCAAGAGACAACTGGATTTTCTTGTTTTTCTTTGAAGCGAAAAATCTTCAAAGAAAAACAAGAAAATCCAGTTGCCTCTTGAAAAAAAGCTTCTTTGGGACAACCACGACCTGGAAGACTGAGAATCTCCTTAGAAATGTCTTCAAATGTGACTGGATAATGGGGAGATAATAGAGGAGAGGAACAGAAAAGGGAAAGTTAACTGGGGAACCTTTGGGCAGAAACTTTCAGATCTGACTTTGCTGTACTGTAACCACTTGGCTTTTAGTAAAAGTATACCTTTCACACAAATGGAGTTGAGGGTCTCTTTCCCAAGGACCCAAATTGGGCAGGTGTGACACTGTCACGGAGAAAAGGGGAGGTCACCTATTCTCTAAAACACTTGAGGACAAGAAGCAATGGGTGGAAGCTCATCAAAGGGAAATTCAACTTGGAAATGAGAAATTGCTTCACAGTTAAAACTATTAGCCAATGGAACAGCTGCCCTCTTGATGTTGTGGGGGCTCCATCACTGGAGGTTTTCCATAAGAGACAGCCATTTGTCTGAAATGGTATAGGGCCTCCTGCCTTGAGCAGGGGGTTAGACTAGCAGACCTCCACGGTCCCTTCCAACCGTGTTATTGTTATTTCTGCTCTGGCCCTTCTGTTGGCAACAGAGCATTTACCCACCGACGCTGACTGGGCCAGAAGCAACCTCTCTTGCCCCCCTATAAATGTAAACATGGCTATCTGCCTACCCTCTGGCCTACTTATACAACAACCTCCCCCCCACCCCCCGCCAGTCCTCTGTGCAGTGCGACATAAATGGATCTGGTCTTCAGAGGAGCAGTGGCCCTTGGTGCGCACATCAGACAACTTTGGAAGGTGACTGCAGAAACTGGCCTTTACTCTTTTCTGTGACTCAGCAGCTTTGCAACAGACATGCAGAATCCATGGCCAGGTAGATGGAGCTGATGCAGAGCAGACCAGCCGGATCACTTTGGGTCAAAGCAGGAAGCCCCACCTCACCCCTCCTCTGGGAGACCAAGATTGTCTGCAGGGGATGCCTTAGGCCAGCATTACATGGAAACACCACTTCCACCCTGGGACACTTAAAGCCATTTTTGATCCCCTTTAGTAGTGGACAGATGATGTTCTTGGCAAAGAGTAAGTTTGTAAGGAATGTCTTTGTACCCTGGCAAGGTGGCCATTTTTTGTGTTTTCTTCCCATCTTCGAATTAGCATATAATGTAAATTGTACTGAGCTTTACTGCACCCCACAAAGAGGGTGAGCAACCAGGTGGCCCCATAATTTTTAATGTGGGTCAATTTCAGGGCAACAATCGGTGGATTCTCTGCCTTCCTTTTCCCTGCCATCCACTGGCAAGAAACATAACCACCAGGTGAACTCTAATCAATTATAGGGTACCAAGATGAAATGTGCATCCAGGAGTCAGGCAGCTCTGGGAGAACAGTAACTTTCTTTAATCAGGTTTTGATTACAAAAACTTGTGAGCACTGCAGTTAAACAAGCTTGTCTTATTTACAGTTGCAGCTAAAAAGAATAGCTGCAATATCATTGTAAACTTAGCTTTTACAGTAACATAAATTGTTACTTCATAGTATGTATTTTTATTTACACAACTTACCTAGGGATTTATGGGCTTTCTTTTTAACAATAGCTAACATGAGCAGAGTCATTAACGGTACAGGAACAAAACTACTATCCAGTAGAATGTCCTCCCACACTTGTGCCCACATTTCCCTAATGCCAGAGAAAAGAACTGTAGATAGATCTCAGACAGTTCCCAAATGTCATGTCCTAACAAAAAATGGATAGCTGAAGAATCCATTGTATTCTATCCGACTTAGATCTTCTAACATCAAGCTGGGCGACCAAACACGCTTTTGCATTAAAGCTGCGTGTCTCTTCAGAGCTAAGGGTTATAGCTTATCCATCATTGCCAGCAAATCACATTCCTTGCTGCTTGTCTCACTGTGCTGTTCCAACATCTCAAATTCCCCCATGATGCGATCCAGCTCCTCGTTCCGTTGCTGGTCCTGTTTCAATAAATGTTGCAAGCAAGTATTTATGTAAGAACAGAAGTGTGGATAAAATACAATATTACCTTAACAGAGTATGACTAAAAATCTATGGATTCAAAACATCTCATTTGAACAAAACAGCTCTTTAAAAAAATCAATCCACTGTAGTAAAATTCTTCCTAATATTCAGTCTTAATTTCCTTTAATTTTGAGCTGTTGATATTTATTTGTATCTTCAGCATGTCTATCCTCCCCCATTCACAATAACCTTTTATTACAGTATTAGTGAAGAATAATGTAAGAGTAGCATATTTTTGATAGTCTCAAGATGATCTCAGTAAAATATGGACTAGAAGATTAATTAGATGCACTTGGTTGAATGATCATATCCAAAGACAGTTCGCTATGTTTGATTTCAAACAACAACTATATGATAATCTGTGAAATAAGATGTAGAAAATCCTACACTGAGCACTTAAGCTAACCTTTAAGAATTTAGACTTCGGCAAGGCATTCGACAAAGGAGACCACAACCTACTTCTTGGGAAGCTAGAAAAAAATGGGATAGATAGAATCACCTCCAGTTGGATTTGCAACTGACTGACAAACTGTATTCAATGAGTAGTCCTTAATGGATCTAAGTCTACATGGAGGGAAGTAAGCAGTGGGGTGCCACAAGGTTCCGTCTTAGGCCCAGTACTCTTCAATATCTTCATACACGACTTAGATGAGGGAATAGAAGGGGAACTTACTAAATTTGCAGATGATACTAAGCTGGCAGGAATAGCTAACACCCAAGAAGATAGGCTCAAGATCCAGATGGATCTTGACAAACTAGAACACTGGGCCATATCTAATAAAATGAAATTCAATATAGAGAAAAGTAAAGTCCTACACTTAGACAAGAAAAACCAAAAGCACATACATAGATTGGATGAAACCAGGCTTAACAGCAGTAACTGAGAGGGATCTTGGAGTATTAGTGGACAACCAGCTAAATATGAGCTAGCTGTGTGCAGTGGCAGCCAAAAAAGCCAATGCAATCCTAAGCTGCATTAACAGGGGGATACAATCAAGATCAAGGGAGGTACTAATACCACTCCATAAAGCCTTAGTAAGACTACACCTAGAGTTTTGGCCACCACACTATAAAAAGATGTTGAGACTCCAGAAAGAGTGCAGAGAACAGCAACCAAAATGATTAGGGGATTGGAGACTAAAACATATGAAGAACAGTTACAGGAACTGGGCTTGGCTAGTCTAGTGAAGAGAAGGACCAGGGGAGACAGGAGAGCAGTGTTCCAATATCTGAGGGGCTACCCCAGAGAGGAGGAGGTGGTTAAGCTATTCTCCAAAGCGCTTGTAGGCCAGACAAGGAATAATGGATGGAAACTGAACAAGGAGAGATTCAACCTGGAAATAAGGAAAAATTTTCTAACAGAACGATCAACCAATGGAACAGTTTGTCCTTGGAAGTTGTGGGAGCTTCATTAATGGAAGCTTTCAAGAAGAACTGAAGTACTAGATGGCCTACAAGG